AGAGCAGAAGTCTTCCACTCCCCCTCCCACCACTCAGGATGCTGCCCAGCTCAGTCCCAATTTGCTTTGCCAAGGGCACACCCCCAAACCAGCCGGAGCGACCCTCGCAGTGGGGGAGACAGGGGTGGCCTGAGGGTAGGGAGAGAGTCTGAGTTGATTTCTGAGTGGCAGGAGGAGGCTTTTGGGGGGGAAGTGAGGGTGTGAAGCAGGTGAATTGGGGGGCGGGGGGGGAGGGTCTCTGGTGGACTACCCAGGAGCTCTGTGACCCTACCAATCCTACCTGCCCTGTACTCCCTGGGGCATGTGCCCTGGGAGAGAGAATTCTGGGATACCTCCGCCTTCCTCTATTCCCAGGAAGAAATGTCAGGACTTGCACACTCCTTAGTGTGAACCTGGGGTTCCAGCATCCCTCTGTTATGTGGGGTGTGCTGCATCCATCAACATACATTCCCTCTTGTTCCTGTGGCTTTTGGTTGCATGTGCCCCTGACCCCAGGTTTCAGGGATGCCCTCTAACAGTGAATGCTGGGATTGCTGTTAATCCTTTCCCTGTGGTGGTTGGGTGTGGGTCTGGGAGGCCCCCAAGGCTCCTTGGGCTTTCTGGGGGAGCCCAGACCTGAAGGGGCATGGCCCCATTTTTCCACCAATTCATGTCCCCCAGGGCCCAGTTTCCTGCATCCTTGCAAACAAACTGAAATGATTCAAGTGCTGTTGATTTGGTCCCTGATTCTCCTATCTGCTCTTTTTGGGGCCAGTACAATGCGAAGTCCCCCAAGCGTCAGCCCCCCCTCCCCTTGCTTTCCAGCCCAGCAGGGATGAGTGTGAACAGTGTGGGCACCAGCTGAGAGCTCAGCCCAGGCCATCCTGGAGTCTCCCCTCTGTGGCTTCTCAGTTGCTCCTGGCTTCATCCTCAACTCAGCTTTTTCCCTGCTGGGTTCTCCCTGGCTCCCCTTCCTCTAAAGGTGGGATAGGGGAACTCACTGCTTGGTTCTCAGTGTCCTCAACATAGGCAAGGGGCTTCCATGGTGGTAGTTGCACAGCCCAGCTAGGTTTGGGGGCGGGGGAAAGCCCCCCTGCCTCAGAGGATGGGAGTATCTCCCAGGCATAAGTAGCTTCTCTTCCTAATCCCACCCTGGTTCTCTGCTGCAGTAGGTCTGACCCTGTGGAGCACCAATTCAGTGCCCCTGTGGCAGGAACCTGGGAACGTGAGGCAGGGGTGTGGGGGTCAGGCTCTGGTCTCCTTGGTGTTGGGAGCCTCCCATTATTCCAGACACTGTCTTGGAGGGTCTGAAATTGAGGGCACATTTGTTATTCAGTGAGATCCCTGCACAGCCTTGCCAGTACCTCTCATTCCTGACTTGTGTTCCCCCGCACAAAACCCAGCCTGCCACTGCTCTTCACTCCTAACCCACAGCTGCCTTCCCTCTTTCAGCTCTACCAGTTCCCCCACCTAACTCCCACCCTACAGGCTCCTACCAGCCCAGCCCTGGACTCCCCCTCACCCCTTCTGATGCCCCTCCCTCCCAGACTGCTGCATCTAGTCCTGGCTGCAGTGGACAAGCACCATTTTGTGCCCTCTTCTGCCCCCCCCTTTGCTATTTATTTGTCGTTGCACCTTGGGAGCTGGTGCTGATGCCAGATCTCATGTTCCCTTTCCTTGTCCCAGAGGGCTGGAGGCCCTATTCCCAACCTGTTGCTTCCCAGCCTTGGCCAGTCCCACGAACCCTGGGCCAGGCAGGGATGCAGAAGGTCATGTAAAGTACTGAAGTTCAGGACACCTGGGTTCTACGCCCCACAGAAGTGAGCAGGGTTTAGTGCATTAGAAATGGGAGACTGGAAGGCAGGACATGTCTGTTCTATCCCTGTTCTAGGAAGGCAGTGGGGTTTGGGGTAGAGCAGTGCCCTAGGGCCAGGATTCCTGGATTTTCTCCTAGCTCTGAGAGGGGAATGGGGTCTATTGGACTAGAGTATGTGGGGTAGAAGCCAGGATGCCTGTTGTAGGGGGGGGCATTTCTGGGGCCCCAGGCTTGCTGTGTGGATCTTTGTATGAGGATGCAGCTCAGGAGATCTGCACTGTCATAGCAACTTTCTTGGAACCAGCTGTTATGGGAAAGGCAAAAGTCCTGCATTCCAAGCTTGGGTTATTTTTAACAGCAAGTGCAGGGAGGGCAGAGTGGTGGTAGGGGAGGGGAGTTGCTGGCTTGGTACAGGCTGCATGGGGGCTTGTCCCTCTCCCCCAACCCCCATTCCCTGGGTCTCCTTGCCTGTTGCACAAGCAGGGGGAAGCTGTTCACTCACCTCTGACCCTGCTGATTCATGCAGCAATGCCAGCAACACCTGGAGCACCTGAGTTCTGCCACAGCACAGGGAGGGGGGTGAGGGGCGCTGGGAGCCAGGACGCATGGGTTCTACTTCCAATCTGGGAAAATAAGGGGCTCTAGGGGTTGAGCTGCATTCTCCAGGTGAATCGGGGGGGCCAGTCACTGCCTCCCTGACCATCCCCCATGGCTCTCTTCTTTCCCCTTTTCCCCCACCCCTTAGGCCTGCATTGATGAGAACATGGAGGTGGTGCAATTCCTGGTGGAGAACAGTGCCAATGTGAACCAGGCTGACAATGAGGGCTGGACCCCCCTGCACGTCGCTGCTTCCTGCAGCTACAAGGAGATTGCCCAGTGAGTGATGGGGGCTGGGTTCATATGGGCATGGAAGCAGGGCTTGCATTAGTGGGCCTCCAGCCTGAGGCCCTGCCCTTTCCTTCATGGCAGAGCCAGGGCTCTTCCAGCTTAGTGTTTTCCCCCTGCCACAGCAAGTGAGGCTGGGCCCAGGTGCCAGGCAAGGGGTACTTGTCTGACTGGGCAAGGGGCAGAGGTGCAGGCCCCACTGCTGTGATCGGGGTTACTGAGGTGGTGGCGTTGCATTTAAGAGACTCCTGCATTGGGGCCATGCCAGGGGTACACTGCAGAGCAGGGGAGGGGCTCAGTGTGACTGTCCTCTGTGCTCCTCCTTATGTCATCAGCTCTGCTTTGCAGCCCCCATAATCCCTGCTGCCATTAGCCCCATAATCCCCCTAGTGCTAATCCTCCTGGGGCTCATGGTGTCTAATCCCCCATCTCCCTCCCTCAAAGGGCTTTGCAGACCTGCCTGCTTCCTGGCTGGGAACCCTGCCACACCCCCCTCATCAGCTCTCCAAAAGCATGCTGCCCTACCCCACCCCCATCTGATCCTCCCCACCTCTCAGATAGGGGTAGGAAAGCCCCCCTGCCTCAGAGGATGGGAGTATCTCCCAGGCATAAGTAGTTTCTCTTCCTAATCCCACCCTGGTTCTCTCCTGCAGTTTTAGGGTGCCTTGACACCCTCCTCTGCATGTCATCCCGTGTCCCCCTGCCTGCCAGCCAGCCATTTCAATCACTTCCCTCCCTGCCCATCTTGGGCTCCTTCCCTTTCTGCAGCTCCTGGGTTTAGGGGCTTGTGTTCTCTAGTCCCCTTTGCCAATCCTTGTGTCAGGGCTCAGCCCAGAGCCTGCCCTACAGCCTGGTTATTGTGGGAGGAAGGTTGGAAAGGTGTGCAGAGAAATGGGACTGTCAGGGTGGGGGATGCTATTCAGAGTCAAGGTTGGGATGGGCTAATGGCTCTGTTCTGCATGGAAGGGAGAGGAGTTAGGTACATTGGGCTAATAAATGGAGGTAAGGAAATACACTGGGCTTGTTTGGATCTTGGGTCTAGTTTGAGGGGATGGGGAGTGATCGGGCTGGACTAATCCATGGATCTGGGTTGTGGGGGAAGGGAGGGATGCTAGGCTAGTCTGACTCATGGGTCTGGGATGGTGGGGTGGGAGTAGGGATGCTTGGTTGGACTGGCCCATGGGAGGGGTTTTGGGAGGGAGCAGGGATGTTGGGTTGGACTGGCTCATGAGCCCAGCCTTGGTGTAGCCCACTCCTCTCCCCAGGTACCTCCTGGACCATGGTGCCAACATTGCAGCGGTGAACAGTGATGGGGACGTGCCTCTGGACATTGCTGAGGACGATGGCATGGAGGCCATGCTGAGTGCCGAGATTGCCAAGCGAGGTGACCGGGGGGCAGCAGGGGCCGGGCAGCAAGGGGCAGGGCCTGTAGTGCCTGGCTCACCTTGATGTCACCGCTGCCATTGCAGGGGTGGACGTGGAGGCTGCCAAGCGGGAGGAGGAGGAGATCATGCTGCAGGACACACGCCAGTGGCTGAATGCCGGCAAGATCGATGACACCCGGCACCCCAAGACTGGTGCCAGTGCCCTGCATGTGGCAGCAGCCAAGGGCTACATTGAGGTCATGAGGTGAGAGAGGGATACTGAGCCAGCCAGGGTCCTGCTTGGAGAAGATCCAAGCCAGTCCTCATAGGGTGGGGAGGGGAGGGCCCCAGTTCCAGATAGCTCTATTCCATCAGCTTCACACAGTATTGGGGCATCAGGGCTCTTGGGACATGAGTCCTTGTCATGAAATCAGCCCTGTGCCTTCGAGCACCAGGGTAGTCAGGAGATGCCTGTCCCAGTGCCCGCTCCTCTGTTCCCATGGGGGAGTGCTGGGACAGCCAGCTGCCTCGGAGGCTCCTGGGATCTGTGGAGATGGCATTCCCCACACCCAGGCCTGTGGGCTTTGTACTCTGCTCCCTTGCCTCCCAGCCTCTCAAGTCTGAGCCTCTCCTGGAGAAGCAGGGTCAGAACCTGCCCCATTCCCATTGCCAACCCTGGTGTGGAAGTGTCTCTTTCTTTCCTGCTTGCCTAGGGTGGCTTCTCCCACCCCTAATGCAAAGAGTTAATCTCAAGACTTTGTCCAGCCTTGGCAGCCCCAGTTCTGCTCTCAGGTAGTGGGTTTTAGGGCGGATGCCATCCCTCTGTCATCCCTCTTTCTTAGCCACACTAGTAATGGAACCTAGGAGTCCTGGCTTTTTTTTTTGTCCCTGCTCCCTACTCAGAGCTGGACTAGAACCCAGGAATCCTGGCTTCCTGCTCAACCAGATCCCACTCCCTTCCCAGAGCTGGGATAGATCTCAGGCATTCTGGTTCCCAAGCCTGCCTTGCTCTAACCCATCAGCCTCTGCTCCTGTCCTAGAGCTGAACTAAAACCCAAGAGTCCTGACTCTCTCTCTCTCCCCCCCACCCCCGTCCATGCAGGCTGCTTCTGCAGGCTGGTTATGACCCCAATGTGCAGGACAAGGATGGCTGGACGCCCCTGCATGCTGCCGCGCACTGGGGAGTGGAAGAGGCCTGTCGCCTGCTGGCTGAGCACCTCTGTGATATGAACTCTCTCAACAATGTGGTGAGCAGTCTCACAGCTGCATCCTGGGGGTGGGGGTAGCAGAACTTAGCTGGGAGGGAGGGCCCCAGGGCTGGCATATGAGGGTGAGAGGAGCTGATTGGGGTGGCAGCTGCTGACCCACAATGGAGAAGGCCCAGCCTGGGTGATCTTTACCTCCTCCTTGGGAAAGGAGGTGGCAGGGCTGGTGCCCATGGTAGTTAGCAGGGGGGTGGGGGGGAGGGCAGTCTTTCTTAGCCCCTGCCCCTTCCAGGGTCAGCGGCCATTTGACTTGGCTGATGAATACACACTCGGCCTGCTGGAGGAGCTGCAGAAGAAGCAGGAGGATGTGAGTGCCTGTGTCCTGCCCCTTGTCACTGTTTCCTGCCCCTGAACCCACCTCCTCACATCCTGTCAATCTCTGCCCCTCCCCATGCCTCATAGCCTCTCCCTTTCCCCCCTAAGGCCAGGGATGATGCCAGGCTGCCCTATATTGCATCACTAGGACAGGTAGTGTGCAGGACTATGGGGGGCCTGCTTGCCCCACACTGCCCTTGGCCATAACGAGGTCTGTTCTCCAGGCTTTGTGGAGTCAGGGCCTATCTCCTACCCCCCATCCTACCACCCATCTTTGCCATGCAAAGTGGTTCCAACTCTGCCCTCTGCCTCTACATATGTTGTGCTGTCAGGAGGATCTTGTGCTGTCTGGTGACTCCCAGCTGCCTTCCCAGTATTCTCCCAAATCTGGGGCTGCCAAGGGAGAGGTGGGGAGCACATAGGCCCAGTAAGAGCTTGTTTCCCTTCCACAGCTGCGCAGCAAGAAGGAAGCCAACCTGAAGCAAGCAGTGATTGACACCAGCGTGGAGCAGCAGCCAGCCTACACCAGCAAGCACAGGAGGTGAGTGGGGGACTGGCTGTATGTAGGGAGCGAGTGGGGGAAGAAGGGAGGGCTTGGGAATGCAGAGCAGAGGAAGTCTCAGAGCTTTTAGGCAACACCTCCTAACTGTGATCTGAGGAACCAGCCGCTGCAGAGATAGAAGGTTTGGTGCAAAAGCCACTTGCTAGGCACCACTCCTGTCCCTGAGCCAGGATGGAACCCAGGCGTCCTGGTTCCCAGACTCCACATCTCCAACCTGCCAGACCCCACTCCCTTCCCAGAAATGGTGATGGAACCCAGGCATCCTGGCTCAGCTGGAGTTGTTGCTTTGACACTGTGGGCCAGCTTCTTCATCCGCCAGTCCTGGAAAGGGACATTGACTCATGAACAAGGGGCACTGACGGAGCTGTCTGTAGCAGAGGGACTGTAGGTTGGGAGTGGGAGGGGCTGGGGAGGTGGGGACGGACTGGGCTGGCAAGGGGCTGCGGGTTGGGTGGGGGTGAGACTATGTAACAGTTGGTGGCTCTTTGGTGCCCCCTAGTGGTACAGCCTGGCTATTTCCCCCCATTCCCTCATCTGAGGCCCAGTGGTAGTCCCAAAGTGGGTGGATGACCTGAGGAGGCCAGCTCCCTCCACACACCTCTGCTAATCCCCTTCCCTCTCCCCCAGGAGCTCCGTCTGTCGCATGAGCAGCCGAGAGAAGATCTCAGTCCAGGATCAGTCCAAGGAGCGCAAGACCCTGGGCCCCATCTCTGTTGGGGATGAGGAGAGCGGCTCTGCCTCTGAAGGGGAAGAGCCTGACAAGCCCAGTGGTAGGGGGCAGGATACTAGGTTGGGGCACATGGGGGTTGGCCAGGTGAGTGGGCAGTGAAGAACCTGTGGACTTGAGCTCATATGAACTCAGCTTCTGTCTCCCTGCTGCAGAGGTGAAGAAGGCAGCACCCTCACAGGAGAAGAGCACCTTGAATGGGGTCACCATTCCTCCCATTGCCTCCACCATATCTGGGCAGAAGGTAAGCCACCTCTCAGCTGGTGGTGTGTGTAGGCAGGAGGCATCCATCTTTTCTCTGGGCTGGATGGGGCTGGGGCTGGGGTGGGATCTGGGGCTTGTGAAGGCAGCTCTGGGCTTCTCTTGTTTCCTGCCTACATCCTTTTCAGAGACACACCTGCTTCCCAAGTGGGTTCAGGGCATGGAGCCTTACCATGAAGGCGCTGTCTCCTCTGTAGAGTAGTGCTTAGGGCAGTCCTTCTGGGTAACATCTTCAGTCATAGTTAACAGCGTGGTCTGGGGGGATGTGGAGGTGGGGGCGGGAGCAAGGACTCCTGGGTTCTCTCCCAGTCCTGGGAGGGTAGTGGGGACTTTCTGATAACAGCAGAACTTACTGGGTCAGACCAATGATCCATCTAGCCCAGTATCCTGTGCTTGACAGTTGGAGCACTTGTTATTAACCTTTGACCTGCACTTCTGTTCCTGTTTTCACATTTGTCTCTCAGAATCAGTTGTAGTGTCCTCAACAGCCTCTCTAAGGCAGGCTCAACATTTTCATGGTGGGCTTATGCTCACCAAACCATGGCACAACAAATAGATCTGTCTCTGACAGTGGCAGAACTGGATGCTGTGGAGGAAGAGCTTTGAACTGGATAGATTTAGAATGATGTATCCACCTATTCAGGACATCAGGAGTTCTGTTCTAGCTCTGGGGAAGGATTTGGGTTCCCATGGGGAGGTGGGAGCCAGGACTCCTGGGTTCTATCCCCAGTCTAGCACACTCTGATGGAGACAAGGCCTATTCTATGCTGTGCTGATACTGACGGCACCACAGCCACCTCCTACCAGTGATATCATGGCCTGCCTCCCCTCCAGTACAGCTGTCTCTGCATGTTTTACCCATTTCTCCAAGGACTAGCCAGCCACACCCCTGAGAGACGGGGCAGAGCCGGTTGAAGGGGGCACTTTGCTCCCAGAGCCCAGCACACCCTCTTCCTGGACCAGAAACTCTCTCCTGAACCCTAAAACTAGGCTAAGCATGAGGCTGGGGGATGGGGCTGAAGGTTGCCAAGCCAGGGGAGGCAGAGCCAGACTGGGACCCTTGCCTCTGTCAGCCATGATTTGAGCTCGCTGCACCCCCTGCACTCTCACCCCTGCCTGTGTGTAACATGGCTGCATCCAGATTCTTTCTGTTCTTCTTTTTAACCCCTTCACCCCCAATTTGGTCCTTTTGCTGCTTGGATGGCTTCCCCTCCCTCCCCACCCCACCTCACCCTCCCATGCCATTCTGTGCCCCTCACCCCTCTCAGTCTGCACTGGCATTCATCTCTCCCAACTGTGACCCCCTGGGGCCAACCTTGTGGCGACAGAGGCTGCGCAAAACAGGCATCATCCTGGTAGCACAGGGGGGTCAAAAAGCTGCGGTGAGCCCTGCCTTCCATGCAGGGCTTATTGGGAGTCCCTCCACCCAGACCTTTCCTAGTTTCATCATCTTGCCTATGGTAGAGTCAGCTCTGCAGAGGCCACTGGGTTTGGAATCCTGCAGGATGAGCTGGCTAGATTCAGCCTGCTCTCTCAGCTTGGTCAGGAGTGAAGGGTGCTAGCAGGGCTCTGGGAAATGGGGGGGGAAACCTCAAGTCTAGGGGAGCAAGGAAGCTGCAAGTCAGGGTTGAAAAACTGGCAGGGCTGGGGCTATGTCAGCAAGGGGCTGTGGGTTGGGAGTGAGGGGCAACAGCAGGGCTGCGGGTAGCTTAGTACTTTGCCCATCACCAGCCCAAACTTCTGGCTTGGCTCCAGATGCTCCTAACAGTCTTCATCTATTCCTGGGGACCTTCTAGAAGATGGAGGAGGAGGAAAGGGGAGGACATTGGTTATGTTTGAGTGGGGGAAAGAGGATGGGGAATTGGAACTCCTTGGTTCTCTCCCAGCTGCAGGGAGAGGAGAGCTGGTGACTCACAGGAGCTCTGTGGTGGGTAGACCTGCCTCTCAGCTCTTCTCCCTTCCCCTCTTTGCTCTCCACCTCCTGCATGCCACTCCATCTGCATCGTGGCTGCTGATTTGAAGCCCTCTTATGCTTGGTGCTGTGCTGAGCCAGCCGGGAGCCTGGTGCTGGGTGCCCTGGTGCACGGGCCTTCAATGCTGGAACTGTTGGCTGTTCAGACCCTATCCCCCTGTTCTAATGTGCCCCAAACTTGGAATGACCCATTGCCAGAACCCCGTCATTCTCATAACCTCTGCCTCAGCCTTGCCTGCTGCCTGCAGGGTCAGAGCCCCCTGCCTTACTGACAGCTCATCTTAGCTGCATCTGAAAGCCAAGGGCACCTTTTACCCAGCAGTGTCAGGCTGGGCCATTCTCTGTCCTTATTTTGTGAGATCTTGGGGGGATAGTATCTCCCCCGTCCCAGCTCCCAACAGTCCTATGCCTTGGAACACATCATGTCCTCTACTGTGAACACACACACACATTCCCTCTGCTTGGGTTGGGGGCTTCGTGCCTGACCCAGACAGCCCCTCCAGCGGCCTACTGGTTCTGGTCCCAGATTCCCCTACTCCTGAGGGGAGCAGGGGTCATAAGATAAATTGCTTGGGTTTTCTGCCTCTGTTCAGTGTACTGTGATACTGTTCCAGCCATCAGCACTGCAAATAGCATCCCTGGCTCTGGCCCCTTCCCACGTTCTGTCCTGTCTTCTAGGCTGAGGCTGCTGTCACTCCCTTCTCATGGGATTTGGGGTGGGAGTAGCGCTGCAAATAGATTATCCCTTTCAGTAGTATGTGGATCCTGCAGGAGATATGATAGAACTATTTTTCCCTCCCTCACTGGCACTGGCTCCCAGCTGCTTGCTGGGGTAGGAGGGTGGGCCTGGTGGTGGGGGTGGGGTGTAGAAAAAAAATCTTCCTCTTGGGGTGATCACTTGCTGTTAAGTGAATTTGCTTCTTACCTGCACTCAAGGCAGTTCCTTAGGGGTTCTCTCCAATTATAGTCTAAGTGACGGGACTCAGCAGAGACGCTGAAAGCTGGACAGACCCCCTGAGGGGATGGGGAGCAGGGAGCTGGCTGTCCTTGCTCCAGATTCACTGAGGCTGGCTCTGGAGGCTTTTAAGCATTCCCCAGGCATTCACTCCCTCCATCCACCCCCCCTTGTGAGATGTTGGGTTTCTTGGGCAGGAGTAATGCTTTACATGATAACGACAGAGCTGAGTGAGGCTCCCCTGTGTCATACAATCAAAGAGAAGCAGGGCTGGATAGGACCTCCAGAGGGCATCTAGTCCAGCCCCCTGCCTGAGGCAGGATGAGCCCTAGCCAAACCATCCTGCAGTAATCCAGGATCTAAACTCTACATAGGACAACTCTCAGCAGCTGTGGTTGTATGTGGGATGGCGGGGTGGGGGGTCCTAAAACCAAGACAAACCCCGCTTGGTGATTTTTTTCCCCCCCTTACCCCTACCCCATCCAATTCCTTCCAACCAGTCCCTGTCCTGCACCTTGTTTAATAACGTCCAGACCCCAAAGCTCTGTGGGGTGGGGGAAAGGGCTGTTAACTCTTCCTGCACCCCTGCCCTGCCCATGATCCTCTTCCTTGCCCCTTAGTATGGCTCATGGGCATCAGAGGCTGCTGCACTGCAAGGGGCGGGGGGTGGAGCTGAGTGGCGGTTGCTTCCATGTCCTGGGGTTGGGGGGGGAGAATGGGGATGGGATCTTGGAGAGGGGTATATCTAGGTTTTATTGGCAGCTGGTTGGTGGTGAGGGGGTGGAAGAGCAAGATGGTAGGGGGGCAGGGTTCAAGAGGTGGGAAATGGGGGTGGGGTGCCATGGGGGACTGGGAGGGGTGAGGGCCAGGGGCACATGGGATTGGTGCAAAGGTACATGGGGATTGTCAGTGGAGGGTCCTGAGGTGGCAATGGAATTGGGGCCACACAGGCTGGCTGCCACCCCTGCATGGTGTTTGACAGCCTTCTGATCCCCTTTGAATCCTTCCCCCTTGGGGGTCAGTTCCCTTCACCCATCCTGACTCCGCTCCCTTTTCCTCCTCCCCCTTCCCGACTCCTCTCCTCTGTATTTTTGTCTCCCACCCCCACCTGCCCACTTCCCCGCAGTTTTCTGGAGGGCCCAGCCACGTTGCGGAGCCTGAGAAGGTGCCCGCACCTGCCTGGAGGGCAGGGCTCCGCAAGACTGGCAGCTTTGGGGTCCTGCAGGATGCCCAGCTGGAGGAGGCTTCCCCGAAGGAGGGTAGGATCAAGCGCTCAGCATCTAGTCCCCGGCTGGACACAGATGAGAAGGTGAGAAGGGAAGGAAGGGGAGGGAGGAGCAAAGCCTGGCACCCAGCTCCTCTACAGGCATGGGGGGTAGGGGGGTGGTGTGGTGCCTCCAGCTGTCCACATGTAGCAGTCTCCTGCATGTGGGACCCCAGTAGCAGACTGAAACCACTGCAAAACACTGACCGTGTGGGGCTGCCTCCACCAGTAGGGCAGGGCTTGGCTTGTGGGCCTGCCACAAAGGATTCTGGGAATGGGCTTTCCCCTACAAGGCAGGGTCTGTGCCCACTTAGCCTTTCCCTTTGCATCTCATCAAAGAGGATTATGGGAGGTAAAGATTTCTCCTGTGATTGTTATGCCTCAGCAGGGAGGATTATGGGAGGTGAAGACTTTTTCCATAGTACAAAGAGTCTGCCCAGCCAGTATTGCCTATTACACCTTGGCAGAGAGGAATATGGGAAGTGAAGACTTTCCATAGTGCAAAGCAATTTTCCCATAAGGCAAAGTGTGTGTCAAACTAATGCTTATTGTAGTTCAGCAGGAAGGTAAAAATTTTTTTTTCCATACTGCAAAACACATCCCCAGCCAATATCATCTATTATACCTCAGCAGGGAGGATTAGGGAAGGTGAAGACTTTCCATAATGCAATTTTCCTATAATGCAAAGTGTATGCCCAACTGCTGCCTATTATGTCTTAGCACAGAGTTCTGGGAGGTAAAGATTTTTCCCATAATGCAAAGCATGTGTGCAAGCAATATTGCCTGTTCTCTCAGCAGAGAGGATTGTGGGAAGTGAAAATTTTCCCACCATGCAAAGCGTGTGTGTTGGTGTATGCAACTGCCTTACCTGTGTCTGTCTTCTTTCTCCTCCTTTTTCACTAACTTCTCCTGCTTTCCCTCACCCTCAGCCACAGGACATCTGGGAGCTCCTGCAGAAGTGGAACAGGAATCTGGTTGGTCCAGGGTTAGCCAAAAAGTCGAGCATAGCTGCAGAAGTAGCCAGTCAGGAGGAAGGGAGTGCATCAGGTGACCTGGTAGGAGACTCCGCCCATAGGGGGAGTGGCCTTTTCCTACCTCACCTTTATTAGCCCATGTGAAGGTAGCCCTAGTGTATTCTGGGAGGCTTGAGGGACACTGATGCTCTCAGCCAGGGTTAGCTGCTTAGCTAGAACCCCTTCCTGCCCCCGAGATTTTGTGGGGGATCACTTAGGATCCCAGTGGATCACACTTTATACCTTAACTCTTCCCTTGCTCTTACCAGTTCCTTTCTAATTAATGTTTCTTTGCTATTGAACCTCTGTGTTTTAGCCCAGGACTCTTGGGTTCTAGCCCTGGGTGTGGGAGATCAGTGGGGACTAATTGTTAAGAGGTGGGGGTGGGGGTTGAGAGCCAGAATGCTTGTGTTCTTTCCCACTTGGAAAACACTTCATCTCTCTCTTGACTGCCCCCCATGGCCACTGTAATTGGCCCCCCACCCTATTTGCTGCAGCAAAAACAAGCCTTGCCCCCTCATGTATCCAGCTGTCTTGAGTAACCCCCTCTCTTGGTCAGAGCCAGTTGTAGCCCTGCCTGGGCCAGCAAGGGCAAATTCATTCACAGGTCTGTCTCGCTTCTTTTTCAGAACAAGGAGCCTCGCCTCGCTCGGGTCCCACCAACCCCCACCTGCCGGATCTTTGCCCTTCCCGAGTCAGAGCCCCACAGAACGTGAGTATCCCCCTGTGCCCCTGACTGCAGTCACAGTGGTCAAGTGTGGGCAGGATGCCTGGATCTCATCCCCCAATTGGGTGGGGGAGTTAGGGTCTTATGGGGTCTGGGAGTAGAGGGGTCTGGGAGCCAGGATGCCTGGGTTCTATCCTAGGCATGAACGGCGTGTGCCTCCAGCGGCTGGGGGCACACAGCTGCACTGGCGGCAGTGGTAAGCTGGGAGCTCCTGCAGACGCTGCCAGCACTGTTGGCATTGGGGGGTGCTGACCAGGGGTCGGTGACCACCCGCAGGCGTAGTGGCCAGCAGCGATTGTGGACGGCCCACAGATGCGGCTGGCAGTGTCGGTGACTGGGTGGCAAGCAGTGATCGGCGGCATCTTTTTGCAGGGGGTGCATTGCTACACAGCGGGTGCACATGCACCTGCGTGCACTTCCTACACATTGCCTCTGATCCCAGTTCTGGGAAAGGAGTGGGGTCCAGCAAGGATGGTTATGCAGCAAGATCACACCCCCTGGATTGGTATCTTAATGGCTCTCTCTGTATTGCTACTTCAGGAGCTCAGAGGGTGGCTTGCAGATGAAGATTGATGGGGGCTCTGCCCCTCCCCAGCCTCCCCCTTCCAGCATCAGCAGCTCCAGCACAGACCCCCGGGACCGCCGACGGTAAGGGGGCAGCAGGGATCCAGCTTTGGTGGCTGCCGCCATAGGGATCTGAGGATCCTGGAACTCCTGTGTCTGATTCACAGAGTATGGGCAGGACTCCTGGATTCTTTTTCCAGCTTTGGGAGGAGATGCATATCTGGGTCACAACAGGATGGTGCTGTTGGTCTTGGTTGGAAAATAGCTCCTGCAACGATGTTTCATTGCTGTTGATTGTTAGACCCTTGCCCCCACCCCGGAGCTGACTGCATCTCAGCACCAAGCTTGAGGTTCCTGTAGCTCCTGCATTCCACCCCAGAGGTGGCTGCATCATGGTGCCAGGTAAATAGCCCCTTATGATCCCCTGATATACTTGCCCTGTTAACCTGCCCTTCTTCCCCAGGTCCTACCAGACCCCTGTGCGGGACGAGGAGTCCGAGTCCCAGCGCAAAGCCAGGTCACGGCTCATGAGGCAGTCCCGACGGTCCACTCATGTACATGGATTGGGGGGGGGGGGGTTAGAGGTGGGGCTGGGAGGTAGGACAGCTTATAGTTTCATAGTAGCTAGGGTCAGGAGGGACCTGAACAGATCATCTAACCTGACCCCCTGCCACAGGCAGGGATGAATGCTGGGGTCACAAGACCCCAGACAGGGGATCGTCCAACCTCCTCTTGAATTTGCCCAAGGTAGGGGTGAGGACCACTTCCCTGGGAAGTTGGTTCCAGATTTTGGCCACCCTAACTGTAAACTATTGCCTTCTGATCTCTAACCTAAACCTATTCTCCATCAGCTTATTACCATTGTTCCTTGTCACCCCAGGTGGTGCTGGGAAGAAAAGGGCTCTACCTATTTGCTGTTGATCTCCCCTGATGAGTTTGTAGGCAGCCACCAGGTCCCCCCTCAGCTGCCTCTTGCTGAGGCTGAACAGGGTCAGGTCCCACAGTCTCTCCTCATAGGACCTGTCCTGCTGCCCTCTCACCAAGAGTTCTTTCCTGGCTTTTGAAGGGTCTAGTGGGTTAGAGCTCCAGGGAGGGCTGGGAGTCTGGACTTCTGAGTTCTTTTCCTACCTGCTACTGACTGTATCAGCTCAGTGACACTATTCTGTGGTTTGGGGTGTCACCTCAGCAGTTGCACCCCAGCTGCCATCCACCCCTTTCCCAGGTTATAGTAGGAGCACTGTTTGCTCTGCCTTGACCAGCTTCCCCCAACCCTCCTCCCTGCTTTCCAGGGTGTTACTCTCACTGACCTGAAGGAAGCAGAGAAGACCATTGGCCGAGCCGTGGACAATAAGGTCTCAGAGCAGCGAATCAGGGAAGATGAGAAGCGGGACCGGGGAGAAGGGGAGCAGCCTCTGGAGACTGCGGTGAGTGAGTGGGGGGTTCATAGGTATGCAAGGAGAGAGCAGGATGCTGGGGTTAAATGGGGCTAATCGGGAGTGGGGAGGAGGTGGGGATACCAGGCCAAGTGGGGCTGAACCAGTGGTCACCCCATCTTCAAGATTCAGAAGGTGTTCCCCAGGATGGGGTTCTCAGGGCATTGCTGGGCGTGTTGGCATGTTCAGCTTGCAGAAAAGGCACTTAGGAGGCCTGACATGATAGCAGTCTTCAAATACTTGAAGGGTTGCCATTAAGAAGAGGGGGAGAGCACCTCTTTTCTCTTGCTGAGAGTAGGACACAGACCAATGTTTTGAAGTTGCAATAAAATAGGTTTAGATCGGATATCACGAAAACCTTTTTCATTGTTAGAGCTGTGAGGCAGTGGAACAGACTGCCTAGGGAAGCCGTGCACTCTCCATCACTGGAGGGCTTCAAGAAAAGCTTTGACAGGCATTGGTCAGGGATGATCTGGATGTAGCTCTGTGTTCTGCTGTGGGTATTTGCCAGGCTTCTGGGCTTTGTGGGTTGCTGCGTGGGGCTGGGAGGGAATCATCATCATCCCCCCCCCCCAGCCTTTTGCCTACATGTCAGGGTTTGTTGGTTTTTCTTTTTCTTTCTTTCTTTTTTTTTTTTTTTTTAAGCCTTCCTTGGAGGTATTGGGTGTTGACTGCAGTTAAGGCTGGGGATTGGGACTGGCCTGTGCCAAGGTTTCTTCTGGGACTTAAACCTGGAGGTCCCTGGCTAGAGGATCTTGCCCTCCTGCTTGGGGTCAGACTGATTGCCATATTGAGGTCAGGAAGGAATTTTACCCCCTAGTCAAATTGGTGTAGATTGCGGGGGTGGGAAGAATTGTCTTCCTCTGTAGCCACGGCATGGCCTTTACCTGAGATCTGTTGATCATATATTAATAACCTCTTACAGCAGCAGGACTTCAGCTGCTGTGGTCCCCCTGATTTACCTGTGGCAGGTTCAGGTGCGATGTCTCATGCTGTGTTAATGTTGACAGTTTTACAGAGATTAGTGCAGGATGGTTTGGATAGGGATGATCCTGCCTCAGGCAGGGGATTGGACTAGATGTGACCTCTGGAGGTCCATTCCAGCCCGACTCTATGACTCTATGCCGGCTGCTTACCTGCAGGACTCCACCCGGCGCTCCCGCTTTCCTGCCTTGGAGGGCTCCTCAGTCTATACTGTGAATCCCATCGTGGTCAACTCTCAGGCAAAAAAAGGTAAGTGCCACCCTTCCTCCCCACAGGACAGTCCACTGGGGTCTCCTGGCAGCAAGAAAGACTGTAGGAGGAGGAGGAAAGGATCTCTCCTGCTAAGGGTCCAGGCTAAGATGTGGGCAGATGCTGCCTCGGGCGGGAGAGCAGCGAGCTCCAGTCACTGCCCAGCCAAGAAATTCTCAGTGCTGAGCAGTGCTAGGTTTGCCCAGCAGATGGCAGCACTGCAAGGAAAACCCGTTCTGGTATGGAGCAGTGGGCTGGGAGCCAGGACACCCAGGTTCTATCCCAGCTCTGTGGGGGTTGGGTAGTAAGGCTTGTGGTTTAGACCAGGGAGAGGCTGGGAGCTTGGACTCCTGGGTTCTCTCCCAGCACTGATAAGCCTTAAGATTCTTTATAAGTGATGACTTACCAACTTGTGACTCCTCAGGCAGGGGATTGGACTAGATGTGACCTCTGGAGGTCCATTCCAGCCCGACTCTATGACTCTATGCCGGCTGCTTACCTGCAGGACTCCACCCGGCGCTCCCGCTTTCCTGCCTTGGAGGGCTCCTCAGTCTATACTGTGAATCCCATCGTGGTCAACTCTCAGGCAAAAAAAGGTAAGTGCCACCCTTCCTCCCCACAGGACAGTCCACTGGGGTCTCCTGGCAGCAAGAAAGACTGTAGGAGGAGGAGGAAAGGATCTCTCCTGCTAAGGGTCCAGGCTAAGATGTGGGCAGATGCTGCCTCGGGCGGGAGAGCAGCGAGCTCCAGTCACTGCCCAGCCAAGAAATTCTCAGTGCTGAGCAGTGCTAGGTTTGCCCAGCAGATGGCAGCACTGCAAGGAAAACCCGTTCTGGTATGGAGCAGTGGGCTGGGAGCCAGGACACCCAGGTTCTATCCCAGCTCTGTGGGGGTTGGGTAGTAAGGCTTGTGGTTTAGACCAGGGAGAGGCTGGGAGCTTGGACTCCTGGGTTCTCTCCCAGCACTGATAAGCCTTAAGATTCTTTATAAGTGATGACTTACCAACTTGTGACTTGTTCTGCTCATCTGTCCCTCCCATTTTTGGGTGAAACGAGCCCAGCAGAGAGAGAGGTCCTAGTGTGTGCCCCACTCTTACCCCAGGTTCTCTTACCCCAGGTTAAAGCAGCCACCTCTTACTAACTTCCGCCCACAATGTTGTCACAGGGCTGGAGCCTGAGGGGCCAGGGCCAGGTGCGGAGGCAGAGGCTGAGCTGCGGAACCGCCTGGCTGTCCGTGACCGCCGAAAAGGCCGGCGGGAGCGCCGCTCCACGGGCATGGTGCAGGGTGGTGAGGTGAGTGGGGGGCAGCAGGGGAGTGCATCTCTTCCACCTCCTCCCCCTACAAGATAGAAGGGTTGTTGGGGCTGATCTGGAGTAGAGAGAGGGTGGGAAAGGATGGGAAGGCAGTACAGAGCCTGGGGAGATATCAGGGTGGGGGAATCAGAGGAGCTACAGCACATCTGTGGGGGGCTCAGCTCAGGAAGCCTGTCAGAGGAGGGAATGTGTAGCTGATGTGTGTGCTTCTTTGGGGCCTTCCTCCCCTCCCCCCCTTCCCCCCCAACCAAATTATGGTGTCTCCCTAGGGTGATGAGAACGAGGAGCCCGAGGCAAACAGCGAGGTTGCTCCTGGATACAGGTACCTGGGGGAGACATGTAGGTTCGCCCTCACTGTGCTGCCAACCACCTTCCTCACCCTACTAGCCTCAGGATGGGGGTCATTGTTTTTGTGCTAAGCAGGGGAGGGCTGATCCAGTCTTGGAGACTGCTGTAGGGCCAAGGGGCTCCACCAGTGCTGTAGCACTGCATAGAACGCCTCTTTAAACTGAGACTGTGGACAGCTCACCCCAGAGGCAGCTGCATCTTGGCACCATGTGAGGGGTCCCTGTGTAACCAGCCCCCAAAGTACCCCACCCCAGAGGCAGCTGCATCATAGCACCGGGTGACCAGATTGTGGTGTGGGATGTTAGGAGACTTAGGACTTCTCAGTAATGTCTGTTTGCCTGTCTTGGCAGCATATCCGATCACTTGAATAGCCTCTTGCCAAACCGGACGGGTCCCTACAGCTCTGCTAGGCACAACAGTATGGGCAGCTCCAGGGAGGAGCCTGACCGTGACTACAAGAAGGTAAAAGGCCTGGCACTGAACTACTGCTCCCTGCCCTCCCAGCACTGGGGTCCCCTATTGTCCAGGGGGAGAAGGAGCCAGCTCTTATCTTTATTCCAGTGGTTGGAACCCAGGGCACCTGGGCTCTAATTCTCAGTTGTGTGAGGGGATATGGGTCTGTCGGGTAGAGCAGAGCTGCTCAACCTCTGGCCCGCAGGCCAGATCTGGCTTGTGGTGCAGTGCTTCTTTGGCCAGTGGGGCTCCCCATGGATTCAAAAATTTGGCAGCAGACTAGTGGTGGCACTGCTGTTGGATCTCTGGGCACTGCATACTTGTTCTGGTGCCCAATCCCAGTGTACAGAGCCAGACCAGGACAGCCCCAGGTCCCACGACCCAATCCCAGGGTAGGGAGCCAGGAGGGGGGTGGTTCCAGGCCCTCAGAAACCATTCCCCATGGACAGGGCATGGGAGAGGGTAGTGTCTGGCCCTTGGACCCAATCCTGGCAATTGTTGGGCCCCTGAGATCTAATCCCAGTACGAGGAGGCAGTGCCGGGCCTCCAGGACCCAGTCTTTGTGTGGGAGTGGGAGCAGGAGTGTGTGTGGCAGATGCCAGGCCCTCAGGACCCGATTCTGGTGCACCAGAGGTGGGAGAGGATAGGGCTGCGCTCCTGGGACCCAATACTGGCACATGGGGCCAGGAGGGGATGGTGTCAACCCCCCAGGATTCAATCCTGGCTTGAAGGAGTGGTGCTGGGCCCCAGGCCTGATCCAGCCTGCAGACAGGCCCCGTGCCACTTATCTGCCCTATGGGGCCAAAAGGTTAAGCACCACTGAGTTAGAGAAGGATGGGCTGGGAGCCAGGGTGTGTGCATTTATCTGAGCAAGGAATGTGCTCTAATGGCTTGGTGGAGCCTGGGAGCTGGGACACCTGTTCTTTCCCTGCTGAGCATGATACCTCTCATCTCTGAAGCTCTATGAGGACCTCCAGATGGAGAACGAGAAGCTGAAGGAGCAGCTGCAGGAAACGCAGTTGAAGCTGACGCAGATCAAGCTGGAGCTGGAGAGGGTGACACAGGTAAGGGGGCCAGAGTGATTGGGGCAGGTGGTTAGGGCAGGGGCCCTGGGCCCTCAAGCACTGCGGCCCTCCCATTCTTAGAGTGAAGGGCCTTTTGCACTTAGCAGAGCTTGTGCCCAATAGATGCCTTGCTGGAAAGGATTCTGGACGGGCTGCAGAGGGCAAGAGTCTGAATAGCAGAGGAATGATCTCCAGTGACTAGGAGCCAGGACTCCTGGGTTTTCTCCTGGCTCTGGTGGGTTAGAGCAGGGCCTAGGCTGCCAGGATGCCTGGGTTCTGCTTTCCACTTTTCTCCCCTGCATCCCATCCCAAAGCTCCTTCACCTCAGGGCTGTCTCACTTGGATCCTAGCTCTGACCTGAGCCCCGGGCCTAAGAGGCAGCTGTGGTGAACGATTCAGAGGGAGCTCTGCATGGGGTGTGCCGCAGGGCAGACCTGGCAGAAGGGGACATTGGGTATCAGGGAACCTTGCTGCTCCACCTACTGGCTACTCCTTGGTGTTACACTGCATCCACAGCAATGCCAGTCTGTTTGCTTAGGGGCAGTATTTGCTCAGTTAAACCCTGAATTTTTGGTCTGGGGCACGATTGATCTTTGGCCTGAGCCAGGTGTTTCTGTTCTGCTGTTTCTGGTCAGGAGGTCGGGCTGGGTGGGGAGAGGACTTCCAGGTTGCTCTGTGGTACCCATCCCAAGACAGGGATGGGAGCTATTGCCCAGCTGTGGCCCCTCCTTCAGGGATGGGTGCTGGTGTCTGGCTGCTCATGGTTTCTCTGGCTAGCTGAGGAATGGGATAGGGGCTACTAGCTCCTATCTGGCCTCAAGGCAGGGGGACTAGCTAGCTGTGGTTGGGGGGGTGGGCAATGGACAGGGGCCTTTCCTCCTTGTACCATGTGCTTTCCTGTCCCTTTCAGCGGCAGGGGCGGTTTGCAGAGCGGCCGGCGCCGCTGGAGCTGGGAAGAATTGTAAGATGT